ATACATATATATATACATATACATATACATATACACATATACATATATATACACATACATATATATACACATACATATACATATATATATATACATATACATATATATATATACATATACATATATATATATACATATATACATACACATATACATATATATATATACATACACATATACATATACACATATACATATACATATATACATATACATATATATATAAGCTCAATAGAGTACTTCAATTATAAACCCAATTAAAACATCCAATGATTTATCCTGTTTCATTTCAGATTAATCATCACTTTAGTGTTTCATCCAAATATACTTTAATCAAATAAACATTTAATCTCATGAGATTCATAATTCAAACTTCCACTTTCTTAAAGAAACTAAAAACACTATATTGTTTATATTGTTTCACTGATTCTGAACCTCTTTGTATCCTGTCGATGTTTGAGAGGAAGTTAAAAATCATTTTAATGAACTCTCACCCTGTTGTGAGCACCAGTTGAGAATCAATAGCTAACCCAGAGCAACAATCATTTATGTTTTTACCGATCAGGAAGCTTCTTTTGCTCATATTCAGAGTATTTCCCTGAATGTTGAAATAGAACGCTCTGCGTCTCTTTGATGGTCCACTTGGTTGAATTGTGTAAAAGTCAGCAAAACTCAACTCCTGTGACTGATTCCACAACAGATATCCAAAGACACTCAGAGGGAAACAGAAAGCACTGAAAGCACTTTGCCTACGAGTATACATCTGAAGTTGTATAATATACAGGAAACACTTTCACTTTTACCTAGTACACCTTCAGGGAAATGGTCTTGGTTCTAATAAGTAGAAAACACAGACAATAGAGACAGGACGGGTAGATGATTCAGCTATTGTTCACAATATCTCTAGAACAACTGGTTGGAACACCAGATCGTTTCTTTATTATTCTCCCTTAATGATTGTTTCCCCGTCTGCTTGCCTGTCTCAGCAGAGGTCTCTGTCTGGGCCGCCAGAACAGCAAAGGTTTTTCATGCTATGACTTGTCAGCTGAAGTCCTATTGTGCAGTCAGAAGAATGCAAAAAATTTGACATTAATATCAATTTGTTGGCCGGCGTCAGTCTGCTTGTCTGAGTGTTTCCAGCTGTCTGTTGCTGCTCAGTCTGTCCTTCCTTCTTGTGTGTGTGTGTGTGTGTGTGTGCGCGCATATATATATATATATATATATATATATATATGTATGTGTGTGTGTTTGTGTGTGTTTTACTGTTCACTCTCACCTTGTAGAATCTCCGCAGTAAATGCAGACTTTCTTCTCTAGCACCCTGCAAACACAAACATTAATAATATCAGCAAATACACAGTCTGAACCATCTTTTCATGTGACACAGAAGCAACATATCTTCAAACACAAATCGACAAATTGTGTTGATTATAAAAATGCAACAATCAACCCATTCTTCCTAAAAGGATGGTTTAAATTCAGGTATTGTGTGTACCTTTATGTATGCGACGATTGAAATAAAGTTCAAGTTTGCTCACTACTTCTTTAAGACATATTTTGTCACTCTTTATACTACTACTAGTACTATTAATATTACTGCTACTACATCTTCCTTCTGGCTTGCCAACTATTGCTAAATAAATAATGAATAATAGAGGAATAAAATACATTGGAATGCTCCAGTACTTCATTCAAAACAAATAAACAGTACAACAATTTGTTTGTTAAGTACTACTTAACATCATCACTAATTACTGTAAATCCTATGTCCACTCTGTTCCTGAGAGAGTCACACCTGTCAATTAAACCCACGTAACTGCTAGTGAATCACACACTTAACAGGAATGTGTTATGTAGGCCATTTCCTTTAACAGCAATACATGCCTTCCTGGTTATTCTATTCCCATCAAGTGTCAGAGAGGTGGAGGAAGGACAGAGTCTTCCTCCTGCAGTGATGGTAGAATGAAAGTACTTTTACATCCAGTAATCCTCAATGTGTAGCCCTGCGTGATTAACACTAAATCAACTAAATCTGGAAATTTGGACAGTTTTCCTGTCAGAGATTAGTAATATGACTAGTCAGCTATTTCCCAGCAGCAGGGCAGAAAGGGAATCAGCAGGTTAAGGGTCAACGAAAAATAATAACAACAGAATTATTATTCCACGGTCAGTAAGGTCAGTTTTTTATCATTGTGTCACTATTGGATTGCAGAAGAGAGCCAGAAGCCAGTTAAGCAAACTAAACATTGACTAAAAATAATGATCCTAATTCCTGGAAAACCCCTCAACCATTGCAGCCAAAGAAGCAGCTTCGTTAACATTAAACTGTGTCAGAAGTGGGACGTTCTTCAAGCAGAAACCCCTTGTGATGCGACTGATCCTTTAAAATGACCATGGTCAGGTTTCAATTCACTTTTAAACTTAGTCAGATTAGGCGTGGTTTCTTTTCAAAAATGAAAATTCAGACAAAAAGCATCACACAAGCAGTAGTGCAACTACTTCCTGTAGCCTCCTTTGAAAAGAGGACTGCAGAGAAAGAGGGTGTGGAGGATTACCCCGAAGTGAGTGTAGAGGAAACAATGAAATTCCCAGAAGAATGAGAAAGAAAAACTGAGTGCTGTGCAAGCCAGGGTGGGTAACAAGAGAAGAGAGGGAGAGAGGAAGAGGAGTCAGAGGGAGTCAATGAGGAGGAGAAGACGGCTAATGAGCCGAGATGTGAGGTTTGGAGAGAAAGCTGGAGGAAAGGAAACGGGTGGTCCGGCTGAAACATTTCTTAAGTCATAACCACAAAACCCTGCAGCTACCGGTTCTCGGGAAGTGATACAGGTACTGCTATGAATGGAACAAGATCCAACTTCCCACCGGCTTGCTCTGATATGTTTACGTCGGAGTGTAGCATGTACATGTTAGTGTGTGCTGTACCTCCAGGCAGGCCAGGTGTACATCTTTGATTATACAGTGGTTTCCAGACAGCACAGACTGCTTTAACAAAAGGCAGCTCAGCTCCAGGGTAGCGAGACGCACTTTACCATCTATACACACACACACACACACACACACACACACACACACACAAGAAATATATGAATAAGCAATGAGGACATTTTTCTCCATATTAGCTCAACAAAGCCAAAGTTTGCATCGAACAGTGTGTGCGACGTTAATATCTAATATGTAGTTAATAAAATAAAATGAACGTGTGGTTTTTGAGTTACACATCTAACATCTTCTACAACATTTCCATTCACTTGAACAGAGAACCTCTGTTAAAACGGGTTTATCTGGAAAGTGTCCATGCTCGTATGTTCATCTTGGAAACATGCAGGTGTGGCACAGCACATGTTAAATTACTAATTTCATATTAATCACACACACTGGCATGCACAATGGATAAAGTGTGCGTGTGTGTGTGTGTGTGTCTTACCTGGCTGTGCTGCATGACTCATTACTCTGATCAGTCTCTCTACCAGCACCAGGCTGTAGGAACTCTTCTCCTGGTCAGGAACTGGTAACTGCAGACGCTCCAGAAGATCTCGGTTTATACCTACAGACAAGACAGATGGACAGACAGAATGCAGATTTGGCATAAACATGAATACTGAGATGTTACAGGTTTGTTAATGGATGATGATAGGACACTGCCTTGTCTTCAGTCCTGGGTCTACTTAAAAATAATCTAAGGTTCTCAAATTATATTTCAAACTTGCGTAATTCCCCAAAAAAAGTAGCCATAGTGACTCCGTGGGTGATGCTAACTTTGAACACTCCTGCTCCAACCAGTCATGTTGAAGTTTACATCCATGTTTGTCCAAAGAGTCATCGCTTCATCATTTTATCCTATTAGACATGCGTGTGAAATTGTCTTAATTAAATCAAAATCTAATCAGTTCATTGTAGAGTCCAAGAATGTACGGAGAGACCCACGGACTGCCCCAACACATAATGCCTGTTGCACGGCTATCGTCGACGAGGAGGCAAAGAAACGGAATACTGTAAACCTTTGTGAAGGTAGGACTTCTGCATGATTGTTGTATTAGACTGCATGAGTTGCGAATTTATTAGGTACATCTGGCTACAACTGAGTGTGTATTGAAACAAATCTGATCAAATGCAAAGTAGGAAATTAACAGTTTTGTGTCAAAGATGCCTCAGAAATGAACCAGGTGCATTCAGTTCTATTGAGTCAGTCCTGCTTTTAGAAATGCAAGCAGTAGTGTGCAGACATTTTCAAATGCGACAAAAACATTCTAAATGAGACCTTTTGTATTGCCTGTTGCATGTTGCATGTTTCTTAATGCAGTGGCTGACAGGAAGTAAGCAGACTGGTAACAGAACTGCAATGAAAGATTCTATACGGACCTCCAATATGGATGTCAGTTAAGGTCATATACCAGGTATCTAGAATGGGCCACGAAAACCAACCCAATGAACTGAAAAGAGAGGCCAACCTTTGCTGTGTGAGACAGCATAGAGCAGGCAGAGGACAAACAGGGCGTGGTAGTCATCGGTGGTGCAGTCGAGGGCGCTGTACACCATGTCTAAGAACGGTCTGCAGAAAGACAAGACTTCATCAGTCCAGAAGCACGTTATTTTCCTTTAAAATCATTCTTTCCACGTCTAGTTCAGATATGTGTGTGTGCGTGTGTACCTGCTCCTCTGAGTGTGCGTGCGGGTGGCTGCAGCGGTCTTCTCCTCATCAGTGGTGTTCTGCTCCGTCAGCTCCGACACTTTACACTTCTCCATCACCACCATCTCGATCTCTGTGTGATCACACACACACACACACACACACACACACACACACACACACACACACAC